ACAGCACGTTTCGAGACATCAACTGTTCACAGACTACGACTGGCTCTACCGGAGTAGGTACCTGTCCAGTTCGAAGCGCGTCCGATTAACATTAGGTACGTAAAACCGTTGAGCGGACGCAAGCACCGCAGGCGGGATGTAGGATGCTCGCCTGGGCGCTGGTTCTTTGGATTCCTGCATTTAGTTCTAAACAGATAGATTGGATATAACGATACGACTTGCAAACAGAATAAAAAAATCAGGATAAATTACAGGTTCTACGAGTATAACGTTCATCTTACATCATTATCTGTAACGAGCAACAACCATGATACAGCTGAATTCAATGACTCTCCATTAATAATTTGTTAGAAATTTACTGCTTATGTGAAAGTTCTACTCACATAGTGACATACTTCTATTAGAGCATTCGGGGAGATTTTCTTTATAGAATAAGGGTTACAAACTAGCATCAGTCCTTCATCAGTCATCAGAGACGACTCCGTGGCGCAGTGGCTTAGCAATTTATTGCAGCGCCAAGACCGCAGGTTCGAATCCCGAACGGGACAAGAATTTCGTATGGCCTACAAATAATTGTTCCGGGTCTCGATGTTTGTCTTTATGAAATATATGTATTTAAACTGCCCCCACAATACAGGAGAAGATGCTAGTGTGGAGGTAACGTTTTTTAAATATTTTTTTTAATAAAACGTCCACCTGAAGTAAAATGAAGTAGAAATGAAGTAAAGTGAAGTAAATGGATGCTGGGGCCCATATGCACTCTACATCTTTAATTCCCTAGGATTAAGTTAAAATGCCTCGTTACTAGTAAAAACGGTCTTAGGTTCAGTAGCCTAGGCTGTTATTCGATGATGCATGCATGTTTTTTCCCCGGTCGAGACAACCCATTCGTGCTGCAAATATATCACAGCTGCAGTGTGGCTGTACCATGTTAAAATATTTAATGACATAAGATTTTTTTTTTAATTTTATACTTAACTTTTTTTATAGGATAGGGCGACAAACAAGCACACAGTCCACCTGATGGTAAGTGGTTGCTGTGACCTATAGACATCTACATTTATGCTCAATAAATAATCAAAAATGCAGATGCGTCGTCACCCGTGAGGACTAAGACGGAAAGAATCTTTTCCAGTAAAATGGGTCTCCGGTTCTCAAAACTCACCATACGAAACACAGCAGTGTCCAGCTGCCATTTTACGCTGGTATTCTGTGATAGCGTGGTCCTTCCCCGGTCGAGCCGACCCATTCGTGCTACAACTATACTACGACTATAGCTGCGGCATGGCTCTACCACGTGTAATACTAATACTTTTCAATAAGATTATTGCCTATATATGTACCTAGTATATATATGACTATATCTAAGTAAGTATATTTTACAAATAACGTAATATTAATAAGTAATTTCAATGCAAACATTTACATTACTAGATGGCATACTAGGGCATATTTTTTACCTAGAAATCCATGTGAGATAATACTAAATTCTTTCACACTTTACTACCTATAAATAAAATTTAAGTGCGCGTCTGTAATATAGCAATAACTGCCTTATATTGCTGAGGCTGAGGCTGAGGGGGTTATTTACATGCCATTAAGTGTGCATAACAATTTTTAAAAATTTTAGTCTCTCTGTCAATCTATCTGTCTGTCTATGGCAAATCTTCGGATTGCTTGAACGGATTGTAATAAAACTTCATGAACAGATAGAAAGCAATACCAGAAATGATCTAGGCCACATTTTATCCGAAAAATTTGGAGATTTTGTTTAAAAAAAAAACTAATAATTATTTTAAAAAAATGCGTGTGTCGTGGAACACTTACTTCTCAATATTATTATTGACTAGCTGTCCGCCGCGACTTCGCCCGCGTGTTATTTGGGATTTTAATTTTTTTGCGCGGAACCCCAATTCTTTTTCTAAAATAAAAGTAGCCTAAGTTACTCCTTGTGACATCAGCTATCTGACAGTGAAAGTCCCGTCAAAATCGGTCCAGCCGTTTGGAGATTAGCCGGAACAAACAGACAGACAGACAGACGGACAGACGGACAAACGGACGGACAGACAGACGAACAGACAGACAGAGAGACAGACAAAAACTTTAAAAATTGTATTTTTGTTATTAGTACCGTATATACTTTCATATGCATTAGTAGTGTAGTTGTACCACTTCTAGACCACCTGAGTCAGACGTGGTTCAACGACGTTTGTCGACGCCCGATCCTAAAAAAAAAAAAAAAAAAAAAAGTTTTGGCATGCTCTGATCACGAATCCGCGGTCCATTTTTGTGTAGAATGCACGGTTCCGGAGATGTGTAGATCAATTAGCTAATATCTAATTGATATCCGGTAAGGGCCTCCACCGTCATTAGCGTCCCATTGTTCCTATTTCTATTGTTCTATTGTTCATTAATCACCCTCATTGCAGCGTGTGCGTCGACTATATCAGTGCTATTGTTTATTATAATTCTTTGTTTATACAACGCTAATCTGAATCATCAATAAAACACATTACATAATTTTGTTACAATTTTTATTTATAAAATACAAAATCTTATTAATTATTATCTATAAAATAGGAGCGAAACATCTCATCCACTAAAATATCGTTGTACAATGTGTTCCTTGTAAATATACTCGTAAAACTATGTATTGAACATCCTTGAAACTTATATAGTAAATACATTAAGCAATATTCGCCACAAACTGAAGTCCACTCATTCTGAATCCTATCAACATTCCAGTTCCATCTTTTACAATTCCTTTTTAAAAACTCTAGATGATATCGTACAGGTGATCGTCCATATGAATCAAAATATTGACCGACGTCATTCGTATCGATATATAAAGCTACCCAATGTGACCCTGGTTTATCATCTGTATCCAAATTACATATTATATACGTTGGTACGTGGGTATACATAGGCAGTCTATTAGCTGCATAAACATTATTTTCTAGACTGGGGTGAATCTTTTTCAGATGTTGTTGTACATCTAGTGTATCCATGATATTACTGCTATTAGTAGATTATTACAGTACCTAGCTACTCAATGAATAACATAGGAATGGTCAATTATAGTGATTTCTACATATTAAATTGCATTTTTGTGATATACAAATCGTACTTGAGTCATTGATCACCAAACAAAACACAATACGAAGAAATGTTGAGATAGGCAACGGAAATGTGAGATAAACTGATATGTTTCTAAATATTAAATTGCATTTTTGTGTTATACAAATCGTACTTGAGTCATTGATCACCAAACAAAACACAATACGAAGAAATGTTGAGATAGGCAACGGAAATGTGAGATAAACTGGTTGACGCATAAAGTAATTATCAACTCATTACGGAAATACTTTAGATTAGAATTTTTACGTACTGGTGGTATATAAGACCAACAAACGCAGTCATCGAGTTAGTGTACGGTCGTTTGGCTACAGTGGATCTATCAATAGTACATTTGTGTTACTTCAATACACCAAAGGCTATGGATGTAAGTGTTTATTCTATTGACTAAATTACTTTTTTTCTGTTATTTTCATGTGTGTGTGTATTATTTTATTTAAATATTGTGTATGTATATGATTAAGCCGTGGTAACTCAGATGGTTAGCGCTAGCTGTAAATTTCACAGTACGCGACCCGGGTTCGATCCCCGCCAGCACCAATTAAATTGTTAATAGCAATTTTAAGTGCTTATTACCACGTGCTTGGTGGTGAAGGAAAACATCGTGAGGAAACCTGCATGTCTGAGAAAATTTCGAAGGCATGTGAAGTTCACCAACACACATTGAGGGAGCGCGGCGGACATTTCCTTGCTCTAAAACCCTCTCAGAAATGAGAGGAGGCCTATGTTCAGCAGTGGACTTTAATAGGCTGTAACTTTAACTTTTTTAACTTTTATGATTAAGTGTTAACAAATTGATATTAACATGATAACTGTGTTGTTGCAGAAATCATTGAGCTTCGATGAAGATACCTATAAACAGTATTACTACTCGCCACTCTCCCCTCAAGAAGAGAGTGATAACCTCGTCATTAATAATAACACATGCGATGGTGGAAAAAGAAAATCGCAATCGATTGATCATTTTTTTGAAGCTGAATCAAAAATAAAAAAGAGGAAGCTGTTATCATCAACCGTAGCACGAGCCGCTAGAGATGGTGTATCATACATTTCTACTAATTCTGACGATGGAGACCAAGCGACGCATCTCATCAAAATTGAAATGTACGATATGAAGAAGCTATCCAAGATTCCAACTACTGATCATTGGAAACATGCTTCCACGAGAATTAAATATTACGTAAAGACTAATAAGGATAGCATCTACGACAATACAAACGCCCTCGTATACAATATAACAAAGACAATAGCAGAAAGTGAAAAAGTTAAAAAATACTTTTTTAACAATGACAGTCATTAGCTGATCATTAGTGAATGTGATTCTGTTTACTTCAATTACAGGAAGACAAGAGCGGAAGGAAGAGATGAGTGTGGCATACGTGTACAAAACACATCATTGAATAACAAAACTACAACACTGAGTGGAGAAGAAAACGAGAAGAGTATGCAGTACTCAAGAGCTGAATATCCATTCTTCAGTTCAAAATCTAGCCGTTTGCTTAGTTTCGAAAACTGGCCTCTAGTTATGCGACAGAAACCTGAAGATCTTGCCGAAGCTGGTTTCTTTTATACTGGCCATGCAGACGGGACCAAGTGTTTCCATTGTGGTGGTGGTTTAAAAGATTGGGAAGATGATGATGATCCTTGGCAGCAGCATGTTCAGTGGTTTAGTCAGTGTGCTTATGTAAAATTTCAACTCGAACAGTGTTTTGTATTAGATTAAATAGAAGATTTATAAAGAAATAAAAAAAATATATTGCATACAATTTGTTTTATTTAATTTTATAACGTTTCACATAGTTACATACACACAAAATGCATTACACATAACACATAAAATCTAACACACAACACATATTATAACCTTAACTACTATAGTCTACAGTAACATTTCTGTTTTTATCTATCTCAATAATATTATCAAACTCAGCATAAACTATACAGTTAATTGTTTGTATTAATGAGGATTCAAATCGTACTTCTATTCTTACACTACCATGCTTTATGAGATTCCAATGAGTTGATGAGTTAGCTGATAAATCAGGAGTTAAGTCAAATGCTAATAGACAGTAACCTTTGCCATACTGTTCACAAGAGATTCCATTTCCTTCATTAAGAAAGTGAATACCAGTTCCCGAGAATAGAGTATGATATGCTGATGTAAATATGCTATTATTAAAAGATGGTTGCAAAGCGTTTGAAGGTATTTGTTGACCATCAATATATAAGCTGAAAGAATTAATACCATAGTTTTCAAAGTTAAATGGATTTTTAGTAAGGGAACCATTAAATGCAGAATTGTTCACAAATCCAATTATACATCTTTTCGGTACCTGTCCTAAAAATATATTATCAAGAGTTTTTCCTTGAACACCTGAAGGAATTGTTAAAACTTTTACTTCAGCTCGAGTAATAGGATATTTAGCAGTGGTAGAAGCTAAAACTTTTTGATGTGCGAGTAATACACTTGGATTAATTCGTGCTCGTCGCACAATAAGAGTTGCGTCCGTAATGCAAACTTTAAACTTTACATCGTTCGACCCAACAATTAAATTAAAACTCTCTCTTGATCGAACCAATTTAACACTCATTTCAACACCATTAATTAAAAATTTATCTTGGTTAAAAATGTCACCGTGAAGATGACCAATCATTTCTATTTCCTTACTTTCACTAATCAATTCCTGTCTTTTAACAAATCCTATGTTTTTACCATCTGTAGAATCCATTTTTCCTGCTGTATCCTCATACCAAAGGCTACAAGTAAGATGAGATTGTTTAGCAGCAGGGGCATAGTTTAAAAGGGTTTCCATGTATGCTCGATATGCATAGGTATTATTAGGTGGTGATACAAGTTTTTGGTTTAAATAAACATCAAGTTGACTAAAAAGTGAATGCAGCCAATTATTTACAGGTGCTACTATTGTAGTAGATACCAAGTTAGTTGAATCTTGATTTAATACTTTTGCCTTTATGTGGAGTAATGTATGAGACAAATCTATGTAGTCATCGCCGGTCCCAGGAACTTGAAACTCGATAGGTCCATCATCACCAAGAGATGAAATTGGTTTATAATGAATCCACAATCCATTTTCAATGCTAGTTTGTGTAGACGGTAGTGCAAACAAATCCAATTCTGACTTAACGCACTCGCAAGAATGATTATGAAGGAAAGACATATTTAGTTTGAAAATATATCTTTGATATTTTTTGGTTTTAGACTAAGTTTTTTCGCAGCTTTCACTTTAGCAGTTAATGGTGGAATGAACGATGTCAATCGTTTTCTTTTAGTTTTATACCCAGATCCAGTCATGTTAAATTGATCAATTTTCTCATCAGCCTTTCGTTTTAAATTCGTACTAACTTGCTTTAGACGATCTTTTATTGAGGCTTCCATAGGACGGGCTTGAACCATATCCGATAAAAGTCCTACTCCAGCGCTTAATGCCTCCTTACCAATCACTCGAGCACCACTTGAAAATAAATGTAAAACTGATCTGAATAACCCCCCTAAGAAGCTCCCAATACCATGACCGCGTTGATATGGTGAACCCTTATAAATTACTCCAACTCCTGATCCAGCTTGATGTGTATAATAATTTTCATATGGACATTTATGATGATCACGAAGAGAATTCATTATTATAATTTTCGGAAATGTAGTTTAATACACACGGTTCCAAACTGGAATGGTATTTTTTGTCCTGTACTCGATCTTATAACTATTTCCAACGTATCGAACTCTCTTCGCATAACAGGTAAGTAGTGAGGTTGAGAGAAAACGTGCATTTTATTTGCACCATAAATGTATTTTGTAGGATCTAATGAAATGACTCTTAATAAAGGAGTCATAACATCACCCACAATCTGAGGATCGATAATGTCGCAATATAGAAATAGTTGAGATGGTAACCCTAAGTGTAAATTAGCAGGACACTTTCCAAAATTTCTCTCTAGGAGATTTTTATTTGGTTCATAACCTAGCTGTAAACTTAATTTGGGTGATAATGTTACGGATGTTATATTTTTATCCAATACCGAAATAGACACAAATTTTGTTATTTCATCATAGCGAAATTTCAAGTTCTCTCCGATACCATTTAACACTCTTAAAATATGCTCAACGTTATCATAGTTGGTAGCTGGAATATGTTTTTTGTAGTACACTGTGGATGGCTTATCTTCATTAGGCATTAACATAGATTTTGTAATGTATATAACATTTTCATGGTCTTGAACAGTAAACATGGTACATGGATATTGAAACTCGACAACTCCAACCGACCATTCACCTTCTAATTTTATAGCTTTTGGTAATTTCGTTGAAAAATTTGTGGTCTTGTTATCAGGAAAGTATTCCATTGAACTATTGCTGAGCAAAGTTAAATAGAAACTTTCTTTATTCATATTTCTTTTAAACTAGAAGCTAAAATCCAACTGTTAAATTTATCTGGATAACCTTTCCACTTCACTAATACTTCTTTTCTGTTACTTGAATAACGAGTGTCAATTATTTTATCTATTTTATGTTGTGAGGTGGGGTTGTAAGTGATTTTCTGTAATTCTCTTTCATAAAAAGTACCAATTATTGGTTCATTTTGTAAATCTGTTATTGTATAAACAACCCATGGAGATCTATCAATTATTGAAGATGTAATAAATATTTCATCACTCCAATTTGATTCATATCCTTTTTGGAATACATGTTTATATTTAGTTATTCGAACATAATCACCCACATTGAAATTTGGTTTAGGATTTTCTAAAGAAAGTTTTTTTGACCGTCTATCATAAAGATTAGTCCAAACTGTCATAATATTGTTGGAATTTACATCACATGGGCACATCTTAATACTAGAGTGAAAGCTGTGATTATAAGAGTATATTAAATCTTGTAAAACATCTATATATCTATAAGTATTATTATGAGTGAAATAACGCCACATTTTCATTTTTAGTGTTCTTTGATATCGTTCAACAATACTGGCCTTAATGTCAGGATTGTTAGTGGTATAGTAATTAATCTTTTTGGATTTAAAGTATTTTTGTACATCTTTTGAAACAAATTCTGTACCTTTATCGGATTGTATGTGAGTAGGTGTTAAATTACTTTCAGTAAATATACTTTCAAAACATTCTTTAGTTGTTTCTGAGTTTTTCTTTTTAATTGGTCTTGCAAAAGCATATTTACTAAATACATCAATAATACAAAGTATATACTTGAAACCATCATTATATTGAGAATAAGTTCGCATATCACTTAAATCAGCTTGCCACAGTTCATTAATATTTGATAGAATGTACCTATTACGCGGGAATTTTTTTCGAATGGGTTTATGTAATGTGTATGTTTCTTGTGATTTTAACCATTCCTTTACTTGCTTTTTATTCATTTTACCCTTCATGGCTTTTGATAATTTATCAATACTACCAAAACCAGCGGGATTAGATGGATCATAATAAATCCTGTTAATTTCTTCTAGTACGGAGTCCATTTTTCCCACTCAAGTCCTTTACGTATTTTAGTTGTAGACTTTTTATCTCTACTGCACGGTGTAGAAAACTCTTGAACTTCAATCTCAGAGGGTTTGTTCAGATCTTTTGCTTGAAGTTGGTTAATAAACTCACATCTCCTTGGATTTCCAATATAAGTAAGTGGTACTTTAATATCTTTTAATGCTTCAGCAAATCTAACCCACCCTACCGGATCACTTCTTTTTAGGGGTCTTAGTGAATCATTTATTAAATCAACAATATTACTTCCAGGAATTTTTTCACTATCAATTATGACTGTACCTTCGTTATCCCAATGTATTTTACTTTTACTTGTTTCAACTAAGTTTAATAATAACTGCCCTTTTTTATGATAAGTTTTTGGTATTAAACTGAGTATTTGAGCTGGTGTGTAAAGTGGATTTTCATCATTTTCTTTACTTTTAATGGATCGATTCTCCTCCAGCAAAGATTCAATATCAACTGAAGTTTTTAGATCTCTATCTTTATTTTTAAAACCAATTTTTGACTCATTTGAATCTTCATTAGATGTATCAGAATAAATTGGTAATTTGAGTGGTTGACGATCCTCTTCGGTAAAATGAAGGTATCTTTGCAGTGTTTGTAAATATAATATCCATTTCTTTCGGTCTTCCGTCTTACTATTCATAATATTTTGCATTTCAATATCTAATCGAGATAAATTACTATTAACCTTATTTTCTTGTTTTAATTTTTCAATCAATCCAGGTTCGATAAGTATCATTTTCTTTGCATTTTCCATGTTAACTGGCTAGTCCACTCACTAATCCACTCAATATTGCACCTAATATTGTTGGTAAGAAAGCCCCTCCTTTTTGTATAATTATATTTTTTCTTAGTTTATGTTTACACTTACGTACTAGTTTACGGAGTATGTTTTTATGTTTATTCAATTTTTGTTTATCCTGATCTTTAAGAGGTACTTTTCCTTGTAAAACGTTATGAATACACTCACAAATACAGTTAATTTCTTCTTCATCACACGTTTTAAGTAATGCTCTTTGATATTTTGGTTTAAGCGTATGCAAAGCGGTTAGCAAATGTTTATACGTTGTGAGTCGACGATGCATCATTTAGCAATGATTTCAATTGTTTGATTCTTGGTGTATTTAAACTCTTTTGTGGGGACGTAGACTGTACAGAAACCATTAAATGGAAAGACATTTGTCTTGATACGACAAAAATCATTGGTATTCTGTTTTAAATCTACCATTAAATATCCATGCGCCTCTAGAGTTGCATCCCTGTAGGCATTTTCAATGAATTTTGGGTTATCTGGTGATACTTGTCTTGCTAAATATCTTATTTGAGTTTTATCTCGAGGGTTTTTAAAATATATTATATAACTTGAGTTTAAAGATATGTCTCTTTGTCCTTTACCCTGATGAAATAAATTTTGTGTTAGATAAAATACACTAAGATTCCTGTGATGACTACCTTTTGTAAATATATCCACAATTCTTCCATCGGACTCTCTCATTAGATCATCAATAATAACAAGATGTGGGTTTTCACCATCAAACATATTAAGATTTGGAATTCCTTGATGATAGTTAACATTTGGTAAATTATATAATGGTTGCATTTCATCAAAGCACCATGTGATCTGATTAAAATCACAATTACATATTTCTGTAACTGATTTTATGAAATTTGTTACAAAATTTGACTTCCCACACCCACTTGGTCCTGCCACAATAGCAGTGAACGGATGGATAAAGTGAAACATAACACACGTCTAAAGTTCAAAGGGGTGAAATAAAAAATGAAAGTGTTGGTGTAAACAATTAATATATATTCCAAAAATTATATAAAACAGAATTATCTGTATACTATTTCTAACACAATTAGTACATCATAATTTTACAATTAACTCAACCTCAAATAAATAGAAACAACAATTAGTACATCATAATTTTACAATTAACTCAACCTCAAATAAATAGAAACAACAATTAACTTAAATTATTTACAATAAAACAATGTTTAAATATGTAATAAACTACGTCATATTATAGTATTATCATAATTTTACAATCAATATAAATTTTTCTTAAACGCAGACATAAAAGTAAAAACTATCAACACTTAACGCAGTTTATAATGACCCCAAGCTAATGTTTCAATATTATTATCTAAAATATGTCTCTTTGTGTCATTATATGATAAACCTATCTTATTTAATTTTTGTGTGAAAATTGTGTGTTTAATTGATTTAAATCTAAGCATTCTATAATATTGCACTTTTTTATTAAATAGAGAAGACTTATAACTATTCATTGTCATCTTTTTAGTGATACATTTATTTACCCCTTTTGCATTGGCTATAGTCTTATTCTCTAAGTTAAAAGCGTACATTTTGGATCGTAAACCCACAAATTCTTTCATGATTTTACCATTATTTTCATCTTTAAAAAAACCTAATTTCTTTTTATTTAATTTTGGATATTCAAAAATATTATTTGTATAATAATCTGAGGTATCAAAGTATGATGAAAGGTCAGGTTTTATATCAGTGTAAAAATCATTTGTAAATATATGATATATTAAACTATCCGTATCTGTATACAATAATTTGATTTTACTAAACTTTTTAATCATATAGTTATAATGAAAATCATACATTAATGTTTTTGAAATATCT